GGTCTTTATTATTATCATTTTAAATCTGTTTTCCAAGTGAAGTTGGGACTGTTGAGTATTCCTAATGTCTAGGAAGGAGTATGAAGTATTCAGTTGTGGAAACCTTTGATCCTTCTTTGAAAGTTTTAAAAACCTGTTTCTGTATCTGGGAAATGACTGGAGCCTGTTGTGTGCAATGTAATTAATATTGCGGAGGTGCAGTGTTTGGCTGAAATCTCTGAGAACAGCAAAGTGTGGCCCTTATCAGGTACTGGTGGTGGTCAGAGGAACGCTCCCGCACTCCCACCAGGCTAGTTCTGTTCTCACTAAAGGCCATGCATCCTCTCTGCACCAATAAGCGTGTGTGAGTCACACGCGGGTCGCAGTTCCAGTGGCTGAGCGTGGCCTGCAGAAGAAACTAACTCTCCCAGTGTGGATGGTCAGCTGGCTCTGAACGGTGAAATAGATGATGTGGCAGGAACTCAGGGGACAGTTGGGCAGCATCACACTTGGGCATAGGCACCTTGATGGGTCACAGCTCATTTCACAAGTGGCTCTGAATGGCATACCCTTCTGGGTCCAGTGTGAGGCTCTGAATTAATGTGGCAAACAGTGTACATCTGGCCCTTGTCCTCATGGCATGCACTGATGTGTTGGACAACTGGACTATAAACCACTGAGAAAACAGATGAGCATCTAATCCAATTGCAAAGTGCATTACGAAGAGAATGGCAAGGTGCTTAGAGGGAGACTAACGGGGATGGAGGACCCCTTAGAAAAAGGGCCAGGTGGGAACTCACTGATGAGCTGAGCATCGTGGTCCGAGTGAGTAGCGCTTGGGAAAGAGCTCAGTGGACTCAGCATGGGTGGGTCAGACAGGGTATGTTTGAGCCCTGGCCCTGGCATTTGTGCATTACATACCTCTTCATCTCTTTGTGCCGTGTTTTTCTTATTTGTAAAGTGGGAATAATAACAGTATTATCCTCAAAGGTTAATTGATGTTATTACATGAGTTCATGCGCAAAAAATACTTAGAGAATTGCAGGGCTTGTGATGTGGGCTCCACACACATTATCCCAGCCCCACACATACATGCATATGCACATACACTAAAATCACAGCATGCCTGGAGCAGTGTGAGGGTTGAAAAAAGGAACAGAGGGTGAGGTGGGAGAGGTGAGCAGAGCAGGATCATGTGGGGTCCTGGAGGCTGAAATTAATTCTCAGGGCAAAGGAAGTTCACTGAAGTACTTTAGCAATGGTGAAGTGTGTTGTTTCTCATGCTTTTTAAAGATAAAAAATGTGTCAGGTGAAGATAGCAAAAGTGGAATCCAGGAAGCAGTTCTGAAACTATTCATAGAAAATGAAAAGCCGGCAATGATGATGAGGGCGTGAATGCACGCCTACTCAGTGTGATGTGAAGGCTACCGAATCCCAAACCCAAACAGAATTTTTCACACCAAGTTCTTGATGGCATCTTTATGCCGTGCTTGAAAATCTTCACTACCGAGTACTTTCTTTTATTGAACGCCTTTGTATTTTCAGGTCTGAGCTTGTGCAATTTTCACAATGACTTTGAAGGTAGGTTGCTGTAAGCCCCATCATACAGATAGGAGGAGGTTCAGAGAAATCCAAAAAGTTGCTTCAACCAACCCCGCCCCCAGGTAGTAAGGAGCAAAACCAGAATTGAAACCCAGCTCCGTTAGACTTGTGCTATTGATTGGCTTCGTTTTCTCTAGGTCTTATGACAACATGAAGATGTGTTTTCTTAGAGATAACCTATGTCCCTTTGCCATCAACATTTATATCCTTAGTTAAGTCACTAGACTAGCCAGACATTGGAGGGAATGGAATGTAGATCATAGTAACGATGATGAATGGGGAGGGAGGTGAGTGAGTGAGTGGACTGGAGAAAGGAAACATTTGGAATTCAGCACTTGACCCAAGAACTCAGGCCTCCATGAGGGGTCCTGGCGGCCAAGTACACTGGAGTATGGCATTATAAAATGAAGAGGGATGGGGGAAATAGCAGAAACATAATGAATATTTATATTTCCATAAATTTATCCATAACCATTGCTTGGACAAAAAAGTGTCAAAGGTGTGTGTGTGTGTGTATACATATATATGTGTATATATATGTATATACACACACCTTTATATATACTTATATAAATATATATATTTATATAAATATGCATACATTTATATAAATATATTTATATAAATATGTATATATTTATACAAATATATAATTTATTTATATAAATATTAACCCAAATTCTCTCACTGCATTCTTACAATCAGTTGTAAATGTAAATGAATACATTGTTATGCACCATTTTATAAGGATGGAAAGCAAGGCCCATAGTTTTGACGTAAACTTACCCCCAGTCAGACACTTGGTGAGTAGTAGAGCTTCTCTGTAGAGGGCTCCTCTCCTTAGTTTAATGTCTTTACCAGGGAACCAAAGGCAAATTTCCTCCATGTTGTTTCACTTCACTGCACATGGGACCCCACCTGCCATGTTCAGACTCTGTGCTCAGTGCTGGTGCTGGCTGGGAGATAAAGAGTGGTATGAGTGAGTGGACATGATGTATACAGTTTGTGGACTGTGATTCTCACATGGCATGTGATAACAAAAACAGAGGGGTGTGCCCAGTGCTAGAGAAACCCAGAGTTCAGATGCGATATCTGTCTATGGGAGTGGGGCAAATGCATCCATGAATAATGATGAGATTGAGTTACTGCTTCAAAGACACACCACGTGCTGTATGTCTCAGCCTGCAAGAAATGCCACACTGGGAGCTAGAGATCTTTCTGCCCCTTCTCCATCCCGCTGTCCTCCTGCAGTACTGAGATGCACCAAACATTCTCATGCCTCTGTTCCCCCTCCTGGAGACACTGAGTCCCTCCTTTCCCTGGGGTAACTCCTACATATTGTTAAAGGCCAATATACCACTCACTTCCTCTAAGAAACCCTGTCTGAATCTACCCCCTTTGAACTGAGTCAGTTCAGTGAGCATTACTGTGAGCATTAATCTCTGCATTTGCCTTTAGAACCTCTGTGGGACACTATGTGGTCCTTCTACTCACTGCTGGGCACTAAAGGGGCTACCTAGGACCCAATTTCTACTCCACAATCTGGTGCAGTGGCAGAGTAGAAGCAATCAGAAGAGAATATTAGTATTGCGTACATAGTGACGTACGCACTGTGCACACAGTAATTTCAACTAGAGTGTGAGAAGCCAAAACATGACAGAACAAGAAGCTTGGGGCTACTTTGGCAACCTTGGGCAGTAAATATCTGAATCAAAATTGAAAAAAGCATCATTTGGGGTAAGAAGGTCAGGTGCCAACCAATAGAGTAACCTCAATAGGAACTAATCCTGTTATTTCAATTACTACTAATACCTCTCCTATCTATTATTGATTTAACACAAATAATGTGCCATGCACCATGAGTTCACACTGATGTGTCATCACTTTGTAAGTCTTAGCACATTTACTTCTCAAAGCAGTTTTCTCTAATGGATATAATTATCTTCATCTTATAAATAATACAATCACCTTAGACCAAGGTGACCCAAGTAACAAACTATGGTCATCACAGTTGAGAATCCATTACCTTATCTATATCACAGTCCTCACTACTCCATGAGTGGTGGCAACTGTTGGTCTGTGGCCCCACTTTGGTCTGGGTGGAATCCTAGTTGAGATAACAGGCATAAATGCATTGATGAGGTAGGGAGGGGAGGTGCCGAGAAAGGTGGACATTTGTGAAAGTCTCTTGGACTGTTTCTTTTTAAAGTCTAGGTTTCCATCAGCAACCTTTTGGTTGGGACCACTTCATTCCATATAAATAAATTGTGCAATTGGGTTTTAAAACTAATTACAGAAAAGTATTATTTCATTTTCCTTTTCATTTCAGAACCTCAGATTCACAAAGAATGTTTCTAGATCCTTGGTGGAAAAAAACATTATCTTTGTGTATGCTCAGGCTGAGGATTTTAATTGCATGATGGATAATAGAAAAATTGAGTTTTCTTGGGTACTCCATTTTAGATAGAAAATCCCACTCCCTCCACATAATCACCACAATCCCACCCACAGAACATGGTATATAATGAATCAGTTTCAATGTATAATTAAACAGTCTTACATTTTTTTCTACAATAAAAGCTCATTATAGAAGTTTTTGTAATTAAAAAATAGAAAAGAAAACATGAAAATAACCTAGAACAACACATTCCAAATAGAATCTCTATTAGATTTTTGGCATAATTTGTCAGGTATGTTTGCACATACCTGGTACATAAGTTTATCTAAATCATGGTTACTTGACCTTCCCCCCCCCCTTTTTTTTTTTGCTTTGATAATAATGAATTGAATGTTTTCTATGAAAACACTAAAATGATAAATATCACCAGCACAGATAAGACAGTTATGGCAGGAATGTAGTACATTTGCCCTCTTTGTTCAAATACGAGTCTTCTTTTGCTGAGTATTTTATTTTTCCACTGAACCCAGTAGAAGCCTCAGAATCCTCCTCAACACAGCCTTCTAGGGAGACAGTACTATGTGGAGTTGGCATCATAATTATATCTATTTTTCATCTCTAATGTTGTGTCTGAGATGATGAGATCAAGTGCTTCTGACTGTCAGGAAGACAGATCATGGGAGATTATTCTAAGCCATCTGACGTAGTAAGCCAGACATAGGTACTTGCGGTATTCTCACCCTGTCCCCTCCAGCAAAAGCTGACATACCACTAATGAGAGTTTTTACTTCTAAATTGATGATCAGTTCACTTTGACTCAGTGTGTGGTGACTGCTTGTAAATGAATAATTCCCTTGAGTCTAATTAGGTTGGTTCTAGTCTACATGTTTCCTGTTGAGACTAGACCTGGCAGATCTCAAGAACATTTCTGTGAACTGGACACAAACTAATAAGGGAAACAGGAACAGCAGTCATGAGGATATGCACTGATTTTTCTCTCCCACTCCTTCTTTGTTCCCAGAATCAGACGTTGCTGACTTTGATGGCCGAAGCTCACTTCTGTACAGGTTCAATCAGAAGTTGATGAGTACTCTCAAAGATGTGATCTCCCTGAAGTTCAAGAGCATGCAAGGAGATGGGGTCCTGTTCCATGGAGAAGGTCAGCGTGGAGACCACATCACCTTGGAACTCCAGAAGGGGAGGCTCTCCCTGCACCTCAACTTGGGTAGGCTCAGACTTCCCCTTCCAATGCCAAGGGATAGAGAGTCCCTTTACTCCACAGGTCACAGTGTCTGACACTTGCAGTGTATCTGGTGGAATTCACTGGAGCACAATCTAAGTAATATTGGTGGGGATATAAATGTTTAAGGCATATATAGCATTCTTTGACACAATATAACACTGATATGTAGGGAGAGTTGCAAATTCATTGTTATGTATTTATTGGCCTAACTACGTATTTATCCATTTAATTCTCTTAGTAACTGAAACTCTAAACAATCTTTCACAAGTTTAACTGTACACACATTTTATAAGGAGGCTTGTATATACACATTTTATAAGGAGGCTTGCTCAGAATTTATTCTATTAGGTACATTTAAGAAAGTTAAGTTTCAGAGGGAAAATGAAGGAGAAGCATTTTGGTTGCTCTGGGTTATTTTGTGTTGGGGAAGAGGGGACCATAAGTGTGAGGCAAAAAAATCTAAGTTTCTAGGCATTCCCATGTCTTTTTAAGGGAAACTATTTTCTTTAGGTGCCCTTGCTATACCAGGTTAAGTCCCAGACTCACCAGATTCCATTAAACTTAGTACAGAAGTACTCCTGCCTCCACACAGTTAGGACACAGCCTCCCACTGTGGGCTGGTGTCCATCAGGACCTGTTGCGCTACAGGCAGGTCACGTTCATTGTGACCAATTTCTTATCCCAGAGAAAGAGGAGAGAGGCCCAGCCCCCTGTACATGATCAAAGGTACTTCTGAAGGAAGGGTAAGTTGAGTGCAAAAGGCAGGAGCACAGTTCCCAAGGATGCAAACAAAAAAACAAAAGCAAAACAAAGCAAAACAAAACAAAAACGCTCTTCTATAGGAAAAAGAAAGAAAGGAAAAAAGAGATAAGCTGAAAAAAAAGTAAATGACTGTTTTTCGTAAGAATGACTCCCTGCTTCCCATCTGATATTTCCTAATATTAAAGGGAAAGGAAAATAGTTATCCTTTTGTCTTTACTATAAAATAGTAAAGAAGGAAAGAAATTGCAAAATGTAATTTGTAACATCAAGTTGCATGGAAGATTGACCAAAAAAAAGTTGCATGGAAAATTGACAAAAAAGTTAAATAAATTTTAGCAATTAGCTGAAGAGACATAAGAATGAATATTAGTGCCCCCAAACCAAACAATATAATTTTGAAGCATTTCTGAGGGTCTTCTTGGGGCCCCATGGTGACTGTAGGCAGGGATAGCAGAAAGAATCTCTAGATTTCAAATTAACTCAAAATTGACACCTAATATATTAGATTAAGTACACTCCAAAATACCTTTAAAAGTAGAATCTCACCTAGAAGAGAGTGGTAAAAAATTTTTGCTGGTAACCTCATTGGTTGTAATTACCATAACTAAAGAAGCAAGCATCAGAACTTTCTGAAGGCTGGGTGTCCAAATACTACACAAACATGCATCAATCCATTAACTCGTTTTCAGTTTTCCAGAAAGGAGATCAGATGAATGAAGCTGAGCATCCCAGTTACAAGTGGCTCACACAGCATTTTGAGTTGTGGGTAAAGTTGTTATTACTTATCAAGAGCAAAGCAGGTGTCTTCTACTGGTAACATTAAGAAATCTTTCAGTTACTACTGTTTAGATTCCCAATTCAGGTATGGCATTTCACATCCAAAACTCTGCTCCCACATACAAAATCTAATGTTGTAAACCAGATTCATTCATGGTGTGGATGGTAGAAATAGCATAGGTATGGTCATGTAACACGTTTTGTTTTGATTACAGATGTGCCATCAAATTATGTTATATTATTTTATTTTATTTATTATGTGATTTATTATGGTGAATGTCTTCTGAGCCTCAGTTTCCTTATTTCTAATCTGGGGCTAATGACTTGTCTTGCAGAGTATGGACATGAAAACCAAGAACACTATAAATACGTTTTCTATAGCAATGAGTAAACATGGACAAATGCCAAAAATAGAAGCTCAGTATTGCTCATGTATTCCAACAATATCTGAATGCCTCACCCTGAACTATGCTGGCTTTTCTGAACATAAATGGAATATTAAGATGAATAGCACCGACTCCTTGCTACGATACGTAGATGGCAGGATAAGTCTTTCTTCCCAGTTTCCGTCTTCTCTATATTTCCATCCATGGTGGTAATTAAGTAAAACCTTACTTGGTGAATGATTAAGTAGTAAGAATATATTTTAGCTATATTCTGCATAGTTTAAAAATGTCTTCATCCTTTTTATCTGTTTCTGCAGCTCTTCCTTTTTATCGGTTTACCACAGTTGAGTGTTTTCTGTACTTACCTGTTTGAAGCAGTCACCTAGGATACTTCTTAAATAGCCTAAGTTTCTAGGTTCCTCTTCTAGAGAAACACTGCCACAGATTAGTACTTTAGCCCCTCCTATCTCATTACAGCTAGAAGATCTCTGGAAGCACTAAGCAAAGGGGAGTGATAATACCTTTGCTTTGCCCATAGTGGAAAATCTATTAATATAGGTTTTATAAGCACCAGAATAACACCTTGTTCATTTCTGTATCTCTAGCCTTTAGGAGAACCCCTTCCTAAAGTAGGTGCTTGAGGCAAATTGAGTACATTAGAAACAGGGTTTTCATCACAAATTTCATTATTCCTGTCGGGCTTGGTCACCTTCAAGTCTGCACTCCTGACTCCTCCATGATCCACCACTGTCTCTGACAATGGGGTATATTTACAGAGTATCCACAGTGTGGTTAGGTCCAGTCCAATCCTCAAGGAAGACTTATGGCATAAGTACATATTAGCCCCAGTTTACAGATATGAAATAGTAGGCTCAAAGAGGATAAATTACTTGTGCCATTTACACAGACTGTGGTTAGTGTAGCTACCATTACAATCTACTTATATCTAACCAGATGTTTTGCTATTAATTTTAGATTATAAAATATATATCAGTTTTTAAAAAACTGAAAATAATATAAAAAAGGAAAAAAATCCAAATCCTACAACCTGATTATCTCTTTTACTAACATTTTAGTATCTTTTCAATATTTATCTTAGTTATTTATATGAATTCTTTAAATATTATTTTAAAATACTGTTCTTTTCCTGTTGTCACATAGCCTCAAAGGGGAAAGAGTTTATGACATCCATGATCAGGTTTGTTCTGTTAAAAAAATGAATCAGAAAAGCAATAGAAATATAGGAGAGCTGAGAGACAGAGAGAAAGAGAGGCAGGATTCAAGTTAACGGGTTAAAGAATAGCGCTGGTCAAATAAAGAGAGTTTTGGGTTTTCCCTCTCCAATTTATATGGACATTTCAGCCATGTCTCCTTTAGTAACAATTCTTCATCTGCAATGTGTATTCATTTTCTAATCAGTTACTTGCAATTCAGAAATTCAGGCTAAGAGTGAAGAAGTCCAGCACCGTGGTCAGCTGCTCAGGATGGCTTTGTGGCTATACCTAGTGTTCTTTTCTAGTGATGCTCTTTGATGAGTATCCAATTTACATTACATAGTTACCCTAACCCTTACTGTGTCTGGCTTGGGTAGAGACAGTCCTACGGAGAAATTGAACTATGTGGTTCCTCTTTGCCTACTTTCTTAGAGTGGAACATTGGTATTTTCCCGGAACTACTAAATGGGAAAGATATTTCTTCTTTCAATCCATAAGGGGGTTAGACATGTTTCCTTTCTCACTTTTTACACATCTCATTCAAATTGCCAATGGTAGTCTGCCCTCTGCAGAATTACAATAGTCTGAACCCATTCCTGCAGGTAGAGAATCAAAGAGCGGAGATATTACGTGACAAGAGAACTGTTGTAAGAATGAAGAAGACATCAATAGTACATGCCGGTCACTCGTCCTTACAAGAGCCCAGTGTCTTTTGACTGAGGCAGGATGTTTATGCAATCCCCAATACATACGGCTGTAGTAAAGTGAGACTCAAGTGAGACTCCTAGAATAGAACAAACATCTGAGGAGCACCCGGGAGCTGAGTACAGGGTTCAGGCGCCAAAGCATGTGATTGCATAATCAACCATTGAGATGCCAGAGAAAGTTCTTTCCATTATCCAGAGAGTCAAATGAACATTCAATTTAGCTCTTTTGAAACTCAGGCATTTCAGTCAGCCAACTCACACATATTTATGGAATGTTTATCATGTTTCTCGAATTGTACTAAACACTATAAAAGTTTTTTCAGTTGCCATTTTTTGAGAGCCCACATTTAGGCATTGCATTAAACATTTAAAATACATATTTTATTTAAATTACACGACAATCCTACAATCTATATCCAAACCCATTAACAGATGAAGAACTGCTGGTCCGTGATTCCCAGTAAGTGGCTCAAGGTCACATAGCTGCATAGCTGTAGATATGGGATGATAGCCTTATCCAATCCTCCCCCAATTCTCTGATGTTAATCACTAGAATGTTATAAACTTTTACAAGACAAATAATAAAAATTACGAAACAATTCTAAAAAATGTTAAATATCAGGCAGACAATATGCATGTGTTAAGTTGTGAGAATGGAGAGATCAAACAGGAACAGAGGGATCCAGGATCAACCTTGAGCAATCTGGAGATTTTATTATGGAGAGGGGAGAAAAACAGGCATTTCATTCAAAGAATCAATGGGATAAAATGCACCACATTTTTCATAAATTCTGTCATTATGTAATAAGAATAGGTAAAACAAGTACAGTAAATAAGGCACTGAATTCTGCACTGGGAGTTAAAAGTTGGATTTATCAGTATCTATATTCAAGAGGCTCTCAACCTAGTAAAATAGTTATTTCTACTTACCTTTTAGCTTGGTTATAGTAATTGGAAATTAAATAACTATGCATCATCAAAATCATGTAAGAAATGTATTAAGATAATGTTTGCGAAGATAGCAAAGTCACAGAAGATGGACACAAGTTAGACACCACAGTAGAGCAACAGCTCCTAAATCTGGAGAGTGTTTTTAGTCAATACGATTGAGAAATTTCTTAACAACTAAGGACATG